AAGCGGCTAAGACACATGAGGACATGCTCGCGATCACTAGCCATTAGAGAAATACAAACAAAAACTACTACGATATGATCTCACCCTGACATTACTGGCATGAATAAAAAACCCACAAAATAACAAATTTTGGAGAAGCTGCAGGGAGATTGGAACTCTTATGCACTGCTGGTGGGAATGCAAAATGATATAACTATTTTGGAAAAAAATATGGCACTTCCTTAAAAAGCTAGAAATAGAAATAGCATACGATCCAACAATCCCACTTCTAGGAATATATCTTAGAGAAATAAGAGCTGTCACATGAATAGACATATGCACATCCATGTTCAGTACAGCATTATTCACAATAGCAAAAAGATGGAAACAACCTAAGTGCCCATCAACAGAGGAATGGATAAACTATGGTACATACACACAATGGAATACTATGTAACAATAAAGAACAATGATGAATCTGTGAAGCACCTACCAACATGAGTGAATCTACAGGGCATTATGCTGAGTGAAACAAGTCAATCACAAAAGGACAAATACTGTATGAGATCACTATTATAAAAACACATGAAAATGTTTCCACACAGAAAGAAACAATCTTTGATGGTTAGGAGGGAGGGAAGAGGTGGGGAGGGAAAAACACTAAGTAGATAGTAGATGAGCGGTAACTTTGGTGAAGGGTAAGACAGTACACAATACTGGGGAAGTCAGCACAGTTTGATTAGGGCAAAGTCACAGAAGCTTCACAAACACATCCAAACTCCCTGAAAGACTGAGCTACTGGGCTGAGGGCTGGGGACCATGGTCTCGGGGGACCTCTAGCACAACTGGCATAACCTAGTCTATAAAGAAAGTGTTCTACATCCAACTGTGGTGAGTAGTGACTGGGCTCTTAAAAGCCTGCAAGCGGCCATCTAAGATACATGCACTGGTCCCATCCCACTGGAGCGAAGCAGAATGAAGACCAAAGACACAAGGGAAAGACTAGTCCAAAGGACTAATGGGCCACAACTACTGCAACCTCCACTAGACTGAGCCCAGAACAATTCGCTGGTGCCCGGTAACCACTACCAACTGCACTGGCAAGGGTCACAATAGAGGGTCCTGGACAGAGTGGGAGAAAAACGTAGAACAAAATTCAAATCCAAAAAAAAAAAAGACAAGGCTTGCTGGTCTGACAGAGACTGGAGAAACCCTGAGAGTATGGCCCCTGGACACCCTTTTAACCCAGTACTGAAGTCACTCCTGAGGTTCACCCTTCAGCCAAAGATTAGACACGTCTATAGGGCCAACAATGACACACATGCAGGACATACTTCATAGTTCAGTCATGAATATGGGACTAATGGGCATACTAGCCCAACAGCAAAGAGGAGAAGGCCGGAAGGGACAGGAAAACTATAGGAATGGAAACAGGGAATCTTGGGTTGAGAAGGAGAGAGTGTTGACACATCGTGGGATTGGCAACCAATGTCACAAAACGATTTATGTATTAACTGTTTAATGAGAAACTAATTTGCTATGTAAACTTTCACTTAAATCACAATAAAATAATAATAATAGTACTTCAACACATTACTAGGTAAATGATTAATTTCCTTAATGCTGAAATAGTTCCGGTAAATCAATAAGGAAAAATCAACCCAACTGAAAAATTGACAAGGGTCAGGAACAGATAGGAAATGTAAAGTTTAAATTTCATTTAAACTTATGAAATGATGGTCAACCTCATTCATATGAACAGCAATGCAAGCCAACACTATAGGAGAGACCATTTCACGTCAGCAAAGAAAACACTTTTCCTAAAAGTGTGCTAACAAGGATGTGGGTAAACAGGCTCCATCATGTATTATAAATTAGATTATAAATTGTATAATGGTCATTAAACGTACATAAATCTTTGCCCCCAGCAATTCTACTCCTATTAATCTATCCTATATTTGTACACATGTGCAAAGACACATACAGTGATATCCTTGAAGCTTTGTTTATAATAACAAAAGACTGAAAACACTCAAATATCCATTATTAGGGGGCTCACTAAAGCAATTTTAATATTTCATACATGGAATAGCATGCAGCTATTTTAAAAAAATAAGGCAGCTCTAAATATAAAAATATGGAATGCTATATCCAAAATGGAGTCCTGGTGGCGCAGTGGTTAAGAGCCCGGCTGCTAACCAAAAGGTCAGCAGTTTAAATCCACCAGCTGCTCCATGGAAACCCTATGAGGCAGTTCTACTCTGTCCTGCAGGTTCGCTATGAGTCAGAATCAACTTGACGCCAAGAGGCTTGTATCCCAAATATATTAAGAAATAAAAAAAAAAGAAAGATGCAGAATAGTGTGTATACCATACTAACATTGTTCAAAGGAATGGGGAGCTATTTTATTAACTCTATCAATTTTGCAGTTCTTTGGGGTGAATGATTTTAAACCTATATCTCTCTGTGAATAAGTAAGGCAGAGAATGTTAAACATCAGGTGGGAATACATTATTCTTAAATTGTAGTCCACTGTGGAGATCAAGAGAACCTATTGGGATACCTGACATTCCTCTAGTAGGTGTGAACACTATTGAACTAGCAACTAACTCTCTAGGTGGACAAATATTTAGTCAAACATTCTCTAAATAGACACAAAACAAAAACTACTGTCAAATGTTTTTAAATCTCAAGAAAAAAAGTACAGAGTTTTATTTTGTGGAGCTAAAAGTATTTTCACTTACATTCAGTATATTAGTTCTCAAACTTTAGCATGCATCAGAATTTTCTGGAAGACTTACTAACACACAGATTACTGGTTCCCACTCCTAAAGGTTCTGACTCAATAGGTTTAGAATGGGGCCTGGGAATTTGCCCCTGTATGAAAATTGATGCTGATACTTCTGGTAGTGGAACACACGGTGATAGCCATTGCATTATACTACCCTGTAGCTGATGTAGCTACTCAAAGTATCATCATTTATTTGGTAACATCAAGCAACGTCCTGTCCTTAGTACAGGCTAAGACAGGGACAGCCCTAGGCCTGTATTTTAGGATACAGGTGCATGAATATTTGTGGCAGCCAGAGCAATCAGAACTCTCACCGAATAAGTTTCATTTTTCTTAAAATAGAAATATTTCCTGTAGAAAATTGAGTTCCCTTTCTAGTTTCTGTTCTGCAATCACATCACATATTCTCACACTTACCCAAATGCCCAATCAGGAAATGTGCACACCCCTCCCCCACCACCCCCAATGATAGCTTCATATACAGCTATTAGCCGTGCAGATTTCTGGAGAGTAAATTAGTATGTCCAGGTGCTTCAAAACACGGTGACAATGAGTACAAGCTTTCTCTGTGCTTCTTCCCAGGCAGGACCTTTATTAATAATATTTAAATATTTCTATCTAATAGTTTTCTTAAATGCAAATTCCAAAACAAAACAAATGTTCTTAGCTTCGTATTTCAGTGCTTCTTGTATTCCTAAGATGTATTTCTATAAATAAATAATAAACTTGATTTTCTGGTTAGTTGTCTTATTTGGGTTTCACCTAAGTCTTAGAACTTGTAACTCTAAAGTGGGAACTAAAAGTAGGGGTTCCTAACTAAGATAGGCTTATCCTAACCAAAGGGGAGAGGATTTTTAAGAAGCACAGCCTTTCTTTCCACCCTGCTGTAGGCAAAAGCATCCAAAGTAACAAATTTTTACGCAAATAACATACACCTTCTCCCTGCCCCACCTCAAGGTATTTTTGTAAGGACACTGTTGATTTTTTTTTTTTTTTTTACAGCAACATGTTAAAAAAAAAAAAAAAAACTGGCATAGCAGCCCTTCTGAAAATATCTCGCGGGAGTAGGGGAGCGGTTGGCAAACAAACATAAAAGGTGTGCGTTATTTGCATAAAAATACGGTAAATAACACTTTCTCCAAGACTGAATAACCTGCCTAAGCAATCTTAATTTTGCTAGTTAACTGCTTTTATTATAGAAAATATGTTTCACCTGTGCTCTGTGTAGTTACCTTATTGTAAAGACATCTGGTGGTGTTGCCTTTTTTCCCCGGAACTATGCATATTATAACTCCTTTGTGATAAAGAGTTATGAACAAGGAAAAAGCAAGGAATGTACATCTCTTCTATCATAAAAAATGGCTGGAAATCATGATGTGTGGGTGTTGAATACCAAGGTGACTGGCAACGATTTTATATGTTGCAGGGCTCGGTAAAGCTAAGAACGGTCAGAGATGTTAGGAATTGTTTGGCCTAGGTTAGTGAGCATGATGGATGGTGGAATGTCAGGGGAGCTAAAAGTTCTACAAATGGCAAACATCAAACGTTTCCCTTCTGGTCTCTTTGGTTAAAGATTTTAGTTATTAATTATAATAGAAACTAACATTTATGTATTACTTGCCAGGCATTATTCTAATAACCCATTGCCATTGAGTCAATTCATGACAACCCTATAGGACAGAGCAGAACTGCCCCATGGGGTTTTCCAAGGAGCAGTTAGTGGATTCAAACTGCCAAACTTTTGGTCAGCAGGCAAGCTCTTAACCACTACACCACCAGGGCTCCTTGCGTTGTTATAAGTAGATTTCATATACTAACTGATGTAATCCTCACAACACGACTATGAGTTGGTAGTATTATTATCCCCATTTCACAGGGGGAGAAACTAAAGCACAGAGACATTCAATAATTTGCCCAGAGTCATACAACATATAAATGGAGTCACGGTTCTATGTATTCATTCATTCACTCAGCAACTAATTTCTGAATGTCTGTCACACTCCAGGTATTATTGCAGGGACTGAAGATTGAGCAGGGAACAAAACAGATGAAAAGTCCCTGCCCTCATGGAGATTATATAACTACTCGGAATTGACTTGATGGCAGTGGGTCTTTTTTTGGTTTACACTGCCCTATGGGTCATATTAGTATTAAGGGTAAGCAGAGCGAGGATGTGTTAACATTGTAATCATGAAGCAAGGGTGCTCTGTAAATGTATCGTTCTCCGAGTTGGACTCTCTTGATGTCAGCTGACCGAGGATAGATAGCAATACAATTCACAAAGAGGAACTTTTTATAGCTCACTGCACAGAGTTTGGGGCCCTGATGAGCATGGCTCTTACTCAAGACCCGTTTTCCTTCAGCAAGAATTTGGCCAGCTTTAAATCAGTTTTACTTTCCAGTTTCATTTTCATTTTTGTCAAGCCCATTGCTGGAAAACAAGGAAAAGGCACCAGCTGATGCTTTCATATATAGGTCTCTTCACAATTCTTTGAAGCAGCAGAGGAAGGCTTCTGAAGAGCACAGCAGCCTGAACCTCAGCCTCAGAGAAATCTGGGAAGTGCACAGCCATCATGAGGTAAAGACTCTCTCTCCTCCTCTGTGTTCAATGTTTAGCCAGGTTTGTTGTCGAATGCAAATCCTAAGCAGCCATGTCCCACTGAAGGCAACTGCCTGAATTGTTCTGTTTTAGTGTTTGTTTTATAGCTTTACTATGCATCTAAGTTATAAATTTGTGTTATCAATGCTGGCATTTTTATTCCTAAGTCATTTTCTGCTTCACACAGTCAAGCTTCCTAAGGGTGTCTCTGGAATTGTCCACAGAGAGGAGCTGAGAGCTGATGTCAGAGAGAGAGGAGTCCTGGCAGGCAAAAAGGGAGCAGAGAGAGAAGCATACTTAGATATAATCAGGCAGGTGGCTCATTTAAAGGTGGGTCTGGGGAAATTGCTCCTATCGACTGCCCTTCTTTGTTTCTTGTTTGAAAGGATTAAGTCAGTGGATTCTAATGAAATTATTATTTAGCAAAAGACTTATTTCAGCTGATGTTGTTAGAGATATACTCACCATAGCAACCCTAGTTTATGCTATAGTGAATTTTATTTTTAAAGTGCACATTCACCTCAGTTTGGCATAGAGCTGACAAACTAACAGAAATGTTTTTACCTTAAAATTATATTGATTGGTTAGAGTCTTCCTATCTGAAGTGTGAATTGGAGATGGAGTGCTTGGAGAAACTAGTCCCCACCTCCAGGATCCCCAAGTACCCCAGAAACATAAGATTGCCCGGAGGAGGAAGTGTTAGCTCAGTGGATATGAAAGGAACTGTCTACTTTTTCCAGTTTGAGGGCTGGGGTGGCTGGATCTGGTTGCCTAAGCCTTGGTCTTGGGGGTTCTGGAATTCAGAGATACCAGCCCCAGAGCTCACTTCCTAGTGGCCACATCGCCCTCTTGAAATGATGTTTTTTCAGCTGTCTACATGCCTGCTTGGTAGAAAAAAAGATCTGAGATATTTAATATGTGTCTATAGTCACCCAGAATCTATAGAGCCCGTGTACATATTTCTGAGAATTGTAATATGGTCTTGCCTTAGAATCCTTCCCATAACATGACAGACCCACCATTTCCTCTTCTCACTTTTCTTGATTCTTTAGCTATAGGGACTTTCACTGGCCATTGCCCTTGTGCTCTAAGTAGTTCTCAGACTTGAGCTGCATAAAAATCACCTCGAGAGCTTGTTAAAGACAGATTCCTGGGCTCAACTCCCAAGAGATTTTGATGTAGTAGGTCTGGGTTGGGTCTGAGGATGTACCTTTTTTTTTTTCTTTCTTTCTTTCTTTCTTTTATTGTACTTCAGGTGAAGGCTTACAGAACAAATAGTTTCTCATGAAACAGAAGTACACATGTTGTTTTATGATATTGGTTAACAACCCCACAACATATCAACCCTCTAACTTCTCAACCTTTTTTTTTTTTTTGGTGAAAATACATATAGCCAAAGATACACCATTTCAAAAATTTCTACATGCACAGTTCAGTGACATTGACTACGCTCTTCCAATTGTGCTGCTATTCTCGCTTAAGATGAAGGCTTACAGAACAAAATAGTTTCTCATTTAACAGTTGCTACAAATGTTGCCCTATGACAATGGTTAACAACCTCACAACACATCAACAATATCCTTACTCAACCTTGGGTTTCCTCTCACCAGCTTCCTTGTGCCTTTCTGCTTTCTGGCCCTTGTCACTGGACTCCTGTACCTCGTTAGTCTCATTTGGTATTACGAGGCTGTCCTCTCCCAGGCTGAACAGTGAAACTCGGAGGTAACTTCACCACTGAGCTAAAAGGGTGTCTGGGGGGCCATACTCTCGGGGTTTCTCCAGTCTCCTTTAGGCCAGTAAATCTGGTCTTTTTTTTGTGAGTTAGAATTATGCTCTACATCCTTCTCCAGCTCTGTGCAGAACTCTCTGCTGTGATCCTGGTCAGAGCAGTCAGTGGTGGTAGCCGGACACCATCTAGCTGTACTGGACTCAGTCCGGTGGAGGCCTTGGTAGCTGTGGACAATTAGTCCGTTGGACTAATCTTTTCCTTGTATCCTGTTCTCTTCATTCTCCCTTGCTCCCGAAGTGATGGGACCAGTGGACTATCTTAGATGGCTGCTCACAGGCTTTTAAGACCCCAGACACTACTCACCAAGGTAGAATGTAGAACATTGTCTTTATAAACTGTGTTCTGCCAATTGAGCTAGATGTTCCCCGAGACAATGGTCCCCACAGCCCTCCGCCCAGCAATTTCGTTCCTCAGGGAGTTTGGATGTGTCTATGGGGCTTCAGGATGTACATTTTTAACAAGCTCCTAGATGATGCTAATATTGCTGATGTTAAACCACACACTGAGTAGCACCACTCTAAGACATTGTGGTAGCAGCGTTAGTTCCAGGCCTGGTGGACAGTGTCATTGTAGCTTTCATTCAGATAGGAAGCAGAAGAAGAAAGTGTTGTTGTTGTGTAAATGGTTAGAACTTCTAGAGAGACCTGGAGCATAAGACTCAAAAGTCTAAGCCCAGGACAGCAAGTATCTGGGACCTGCCTCTCTGATTTACTAGTGAAAATAAAAATCCATGGTGAAGCAGTGAAATTGGATGGCTTTTTGAATGGCATCTCCAAAGGAATTTTACGTAAGTATATATATTAAAGGAGTCCCTGGGTAGTGGAAATGGTTAAGCACTGGGCAGCTAACTGATACCGACAGGTTGAGTCCACCAGAGAGAGGCACCTTGGAAGAAAGTCCTGGTGATCTACTTCTGAAAAGTTAGCCATTGAAAATGATATGAAGCACAATTCTACTCTGACACACATGGGGTTGCTACGAGTCAGAACAGACTTGAGAGCAACTAATTTGGTTTTTGGTTTTGGTGTGTATTAAATCTCTCTATCCTATCAAATGCACAACTGAGTTATGTTTTATATGTCAGAGATAATCTCAACTCTATTCACTCTCTTCATATCTCTTATAAAATGAGAAGGGAGCTAACAACCTCATGTGTAAAGGAATATTTTCATAACCTCACCGAGAAAGAAGATAGCTCAGACTGAACGTGAACTTTTCAAGGGGAGGCTGCTGTCATTAAGATGCTAGATACTCTCCCCTAATTACACCAAGAGGCTCTAACAGTCTAGTTTTTCAATGAAACCTGCCTGGGCCTTTGAAAGGAATCCTTCTCAGAGCAAAAACTCCCACCCTTTTCCCCTCTTATTGTTTGTTTATTCTATTTGGAGTAGTTAAGTCTTCATTTGTTTCAAGTAACAGAAAAGAACAGGAACTGGAATGCTTCACAGATTTAAATGGTTACAATGGAAAAAATTCAACAGAAAAAATAAGATAACACAATGTTAAAATAAAGAGACAAATAAAACCAATTTGATAAAAGCTCAAAAAGTTTGTATAGGCTAAGGAAATCAATTAAGGATACATAAGACATGAAAAAATCAGACAGGAAATAGACAGTGATAAAGATTTTTAAAGGCAAAATAATAACTAAGGAATTAAAAGTATAGAAGATAAAATCATTGAATTTTAGAGGGATAAAGTAGTTTAAAACAGGGTGACAAAATATTTAAAAAATAGAAAAGTATAAAGCTAAAATTTTCAGTATGTAGAAGTAAATGCTAGGCAACAGTGAAAAACAGAAAACGCAATCAAACAGGTTTGCTTCTTAAAAACTACATAAATAAAATGAAACCTCTACTGAAATCAGTTCCCACAGATTTGGCAACCTCTGCAGAGGCTTTCAAAGGCGGAAAGCTCAGGGCCAGAGCTCCAAACAAAAACTGCCTTATTCAAGGACATGCAGCCTCAGTCCAGAGATACCACCCACTGTCCTCCCTAATTCTTTTGCTCCCCACAGTCATCAAATTTCTGCTTCACCATGCATTTGACACATAGGCAGAGTATAGGGGGAAAAAAAAGGAAAGACTGTTCTTTTTTGATTTGGGTTGACCTTCTTTAGGAGGAGGACATCTGTATTTGCAATCCACATTTCTTACCAGAATAATCTGTGCTATATATCAAGAGAGCTGGGGGAGAAGAGAGCTGTGGGGGAAGACAGCTAGGGGGTTAGAGAGCTGGGGAGGAAGAGAGCTGAGGCAGGGGAGAGCTGGGGGGGAAGAGATCCCTGGTGGTGCAGTGGTTAAGTGTTTGGCTGCTAACCAAAAGGTCAGCAGTTCGAATCCACCAGCAGCTCCTTGGAAACCCTATGGGCCAGTTCTACTCTGTCCTATAGGGTCACTATCAGTTGGAATCCACTCAATAGCACTGGGTAATGGGTATATGTCTCAAAGTGTTCATCTCTCTATTTTTCCCTACAGTGAGATTACCAAAAATTCCTTGGAGAGCAGCCTACGGCAACTAAAATGTCATTTCACCTGGAATTTGATAGAGAGAGAAAATTCCGTGGATGATTTTGAAGACAGAGTGTGTAATCAGATTGAGTTTCAGAACAGTGAATTCAAAGCTACAACATACAACATATTGGCCTACATAAAACACCTCAGAGGCCAAAATAAGGCAGCACTGGAATACTTACAGCAAGCTGAAGAGTTAATCCAGCTAGAGCACACTGACCAAGCAGAAATCAGAAGTCTAGTCACCTGGGGAAACTATGCCTGGGTCTACTATCACATGGACAGACTCTCTGAAGCTCACAGTTACCTAGACAAGGTGAAACAAGTCTGCCAGAAGTTTTCCAGTCCCTATAGAATTAATAATAGTCCTGAGATAGACTGTGAGGAAGGGTGGACACGGTTAAAGTGTGGAGGAAAGTTTAATGAAAGGGCTAAGGTGTGTTTTGAGAAGGCTCTGGAAAAAAAACCAAAGAACCCAGAATTCAGCAGTGGTCTGGCAATTGCGAGCTACCGTCTGGATAAGTGGCCACCTAATCAGAACCCCATTAACCCCCTGAGACAAGCCATCAGACTGAATCCTGACAACCAATATGTTAAAGTCCTCCTGGCTCTGAAACTTCAAGAGCTGAATGAAGAAGGTGAAGGGGAAAATATAGTTGAAGAAGCCTTGGAGAAAGCCCCACATGCAACAGATGTACTTCGCAGTGCGGCAAAATTTTATCGAAAGAAGGGTGCCCTGGACAAAGCTATAGAAATGCTTGGAAAGACTTTAGAATGCATGCCAAACAATGCCTACCTGCATTACTACACTGGATGCTGCTATAGGGCAAAAGTCCTCCAAATACAGTGTGAAAGGTATGAAAATAAAGATAAGTTACCAGAACTAATAGAACAAGGCGTGGATCATTTAAAGCAAGCAGACGAGCTCAATATGAATCTCTCCAATGTCTGCTCCTATCTTGCCTGCCTCTATGCTCACGCAAATCAGTATGAAGAAGCAGATCATTACTTTCAAAAAGAATTCAGCAAAGAGCTTAATCCTGTATTGAAACAGCGGCTCCACCTGCGATATGGCAACTTTCAGCTGTATCAAATGAGGTGTGAAGAAAAGGCCATCCACCATTTTATGGAAGGCGTGAAAATAAACCAGGGAACAAAGGAGAAAGAAAAGATGAAAAACAAACTGCAAAGAATTGCTAAAATGCGGCTTTCTCAAAATGAAGCTGATTCTGAGGCTTTGCGTATCTTGAGGGTCCTTGATGAGCTGAATGGAGAAATGCAGCAAGCAGTTGAAGACTCTAAGAGATGTTTGGGCTCTGCCAGCCTCCTCCCTTCAGCATCTATAGCTGAGATAGGGGATGGGGAATAGGGATATGGTACTCATAGAGATGCTGTTGAAAGGAGGCCAAAACCCCTCCACCAGGGGCATATTCAAATATTTAACATGGACTAAGCAGACACTGGCCACAGTACTGGATCAGGGTTATGGAGAACTCCTGCTGTGCCAGGTATTAACCCTGGAATTGCTTGATCATGTGGAGGTCCAGGGGGTTCTAAGGGAGGAACCAGATTGGAGGGTAAGTCCAGAGTCTTGCAAAAGGGGCTATTTCCCAACTGAACTCATGGGCACAGTTTGTTCTATGACATTCCCTTTGTTACATACCCTAAGCGGTGTGATGCCTTGGGTTTGTTATGTTAATATAAAGCAGCCAGATCCCTCAAATCTATAACTTTGTGGTCCATTTTTGCAATGCTTTTCCATCCTTGCAGTTGTTTTAGATCCTGTGCAAGTGGGTTGGATGTACTGTGTCCATCAAAAGACTGGAGGACCAAAGCCTGGAGAGGGCTCACTGTTCACCTCTTTCCCCCTCCTCCCAGCCAATCTTCAATCTAAAGTGTCCTGCACAACATAAGTGCAATTGTCCTATCAACTGAGGTGGCAGCATAGTTGGAGAAAAAGAGAGTAGAGAGCAAATCAAATCTAGAAGGGACATTTCTAGAACTAATGGAGTGAGGCAATCACAATATGCGTCTTTCAGGTGGTATATGGGGAGATATCACCTCCACTCTGCCCTACCTGTAATACAGCATGTGAAGAATTAAAGGGGATTCTGTACAATACTCTAGAAACCAAAATAATACATTTCTTAAAAACTTGTGTGGAAACAGCATGCCACCGGGGTCCTCGTGGAAACAGTAGGGGTAGGAAAAGAGTAAGCAAAAGTCAGAAAGAAAGAGAAAGGGATGCTATTTTGTCATTGTAGATCATAATCATATGAAGAAATTTTTACTTTCTCAGCCATTATTAGGAAAATTTATTTGTAGGATGAGACTTGCATTGATGAGTCCAGGTTTGAGATGATAGGTGAAGCATCAGAATAGGGAATAACTTAGTACTGAGGGGACTAGTGAAAGGACTTGGGAAATGACATTGATAATGGAGTGGTTTTCTTCCCCCCTCATTAGAAATGTTGTATGTTGGATGATATAGACACTTCTTGTAACTCTGAAAATCTTCACAAAATTCATGTTATGCTTGGTGCAATTGAGGTTGTCTAGGTAGACACCGAATGGGCCTAGACTCACATCAAGGTTGGCCTCAACCAAAAGAAAGTCAGTTGACCCAGCATGACAGCATCAGCCACCCTCTCAGTTGCAAAATGTTTGCCTGTTGGAATTAGTTTAAATTTAAAAGTATATTAACAGCTTTTTTTTTCATTAAGCCACTAAAAGATTATATAAAATTCAAGATTTTTTATTAATCAAAAATTCCAACGACTATAACAATAGGCTTCCATGATATTTTCTGTATTAAAAATATGGTTATATGTACTTGATATCAGTGTGCACAGTTTGGAATCTTGAAGAAAATCATAGTTTTAATAAAATAAATGTGATGAAGCATAAACAGGTGTTCTGGCTTATTTGAAATTTTGTTGTACCTTAAGTCTTTCAGACTCAGCTAATGATAAATGTGATGTTACACTGGAAATGAATTAGCTCTGAATTGCCCAGACTGGTCAAACACCAAAACTACTGAATAGAACAAAAAATTATTTCCACAGTCATAAGCATCCAGCACTTCCATTTATACCCCGCCACCGCTACCACCATGTACCCACATGCACACAAACCCACTGCCCCAACATTGACAGTCCTTTTCACTGCTAAATCCTGTTAATATCTTGTGCTTTCCTCCACATTTTCTCTCTTCTTCTGATCTCCAGTATGTGAAACAAGGCAGTGTCCCTGATTTTATTTTATGCCCCATCCCAAGGGCAGCGCAAATGAATTTTGGAGAGCTTTTCCTATTCAGTAAACAACAGAAAGCAACAAGGAGACTCTGGTGGAAAACACAATTCACACCAGCTACAATGGTAAATTTATCCTATCAGACTGAATTGGACATATATTTCAGGAGAAGGTCAAGTTCATTTTGCCTGGGTAATTTCTTATTGGATCTGGTGCCTGGGGAGGAAGCCCAGAAGTGTTCTGAGTAGAAGGTGAGATGGGCAGGTCACACTGACCTTCAGAGAGGATCACTGGCACCTGTAGTATGCTAAAGAAGATAAACCAGGTGTATGTAATCTTGTTGTTGCAGGTCATGTCACCTAAACCCTAACTAAAATAGGACCCTAAAACGGGAAAAGGTAAAAAGGGTGAGGGAGAGATGTATAACATAGTACACTTAATATTTATTTGAGGACTTAAACCTAACAAATATGATTGGAAAACAATAAATAAAATTATGTTTGTTGCTCATTTTTCCTGAAATCTCACCATCCTCAGAGAACAAATAGAGTCACCTTAACTGTAATGACTTGTAATTCCTGACTCTTAATCTCCCAGTACAGGGCATGTGATTCCCCTCAAACATTCAACAAGCCCCTAGTAGATGTCTCATGGGTGCTAATAACAAGTTGGCCAGTTAGAAATATCTGGTTGTATCTGCTATTTGGGGTCCCCAGGTGGTGCAAATGGTTTACGCTTGACTACCTACCAAAAGGTTGGCAGTTCAAACCCACTCAGTGTCACCACGAAAGAAAGGCCTAGCAATCTGCTTCTGTAAATGTTACAGCCAAAAAACCCTACGGAGCAGTTATACTCTGCACACATGGGGTCACCATGAGTCAGAACCGACTCGGTGGCAACAGGATTGATTTTGTGGTTTTTATCTGAGATTTGTACCGCCTGAGCACCCGCCCCCATCAATGTCCACTGCCCATGAAACTGCTTCAATATGTCTTGCCATTCTCTGAGTTTGATTGCCACCTTGAGAGTACTGGTACCCTGCCAAAGATGTTCTCAAATGTGCTAAGACAAATGCAGGAGTGAGGTGAATTTCCCTCACCCCTACTTCACTTTATTCTCCAGCTTCCAAGTTGTTGTTTTTAGGTGCTGTTGAGTTGGTTTCCACTCATAGCGACCCTATGTACAACAGAACAAAACACTGCCCAGTCCTACACCATCCTCACAGTTGTTGCTGTTTGAGCCCATTGTTGCAGCCACTGTGTCAAACCATCTCATTGAGGGTCTTCTTCTTTTTCACTGACCCTCTACCTTACCAAGCATAATGTCCTTCTCCAGGGATTAGTCCCTCCTGATAACGTGTCCAAAGTAGGTGAGACCAAGTCTCGCCATCATCACTTCTAACTGGCTGTACTTCTTCAAAGACAGACTTGATTGTTTTTCTGGCAGTCCATGGTATATTCAATATTCTCTGCCAACACCATAATTCAAAAGCATCAATCCTTTGGTCTTCCTTATTCATTGTCCAGCTTTTGTATGCATATGAGATTGAAAACACCACAGCTTGGGTCAGATGTACCTTAGTCCTCAAAGTGACGTCTTTGCTTTTCAACCCTTTAAAGGGGTCTTTTGCAGCAGATTTGCCCAATGCAATACATCGTTTGATTTCTTGACTGCTGCTTCCATAGACGTTGATTGTGGATCCAAGTAAAATCCTTGACAACTTCAATATTTTCTCCATTTATCATGATGTTGCTTATTGGTCCAGTTGTGAGGATTTCTGGTTTCTTTATGTTGAGGTGTAATCCATACTGAAGGCTATGGTCTTTGATCTTCATCACTAAGTGCTTCAAGTCTTCTTGCCTTTCAGCAAGCAAGGTTGAGTCATCTGCATACCACAGGTTGTTAATAAGTCTTCCTCCAATCCTGATGCCCTGTTCTTCTTCATATAGTCCAGCTTCTCAGATTATTTGCTCAGCATACAAATTGAATAAGTATGGTGAAAGGATGTAACCCTGACGCACACTTGTCCTGACTTTAAACCACACAGTATCCCCCTTGTTCTCTTCAAATGACTGCCTCTTGATCTATGTACAGATTCCTCACGAGCACAATTAAGTGTTCTGGAATTCCCATTCTTTGCAATGTTATCCATAATTGGTATGATCTACACAGTCGAATGCCTTTGCATAGTTAATAAAACACAGGTAAACATCTTTCTGGTATTCACTGCTTTCAGCCAGGATCCATGTGACATCAGCAATGATATCGCTGGTTCCATGTCCTCTTCTGAATCCAGCTTGACTTTCTGGGTTCCAAGTAGTAGCAATTATTCCTCAGCCTCAGAGTCCTCAGTGAACAGATTCATCAGCTTCTGATTGTAGCTCCTTTCTTTACAGAGCTCTGGCACAGTCCCTGGAGAGAGCTGACACTGAGTCATGCTCTACTTTCATCTTCCTTCCTTCCTTCAGCACTCAGGGTCCTATCCTTCATGTCAATTTACTTATTCAATAAACAGTCAGTGGGACTGGAAGCCTGGAAGTGTTAAAATCCTGGTGATAAACACAAATTAGGCTTCTACTGGGATTCCAATCATATGCACAATCAACATTGGATACCAGGCTGGTAATCATGAGTTTCAACTAGAGACTATATGTTCCTGTTTCCTTCCTCCCTCCACCATCCCCCACAACCCCATCATTTATTCTGGGGAAGGGAGTAAATCAATTTGAAGAATAAGAAAATTTCCTAGTGATTTAAAGTACAGTTGCCTCACTGCTGGCAATCTACACCTTTCTGGGAGGCGTGCAAAGAGGGAAACTGACTAAAATTCTTAGGTGTAGGCTGAATGTGCGCAACTGTAAGAGAAGTGTGCTCAGCTTGTCTTAGTTTCCTAGTGCTACTGTAACAGAAATACCACAAGTGGGTGACTTTAAGGAACAGATATTTATTTTCTCACAGTTTAGGAGGCTAGAAGTCTGAATCCAGGACACCAACTCTAGGAGAAGGCTCTCTCTCTGTCCACCCTGGGGGAAGACACTTGTCTCAGCTTCTATAGCCCCTGTGTTTCTGGGTTCCTTGATGATCTCCACATAGCATCTATCTTTCCCTCATTTGTGCTTGTTTCTCTCTGTGTCGAACTGTTCTTTTTATATCTCTGGTCAAGTTTAAAACACACTGTCCAGTGATACGGCCTCATTAACATAACAGGGAAACCCTAGTCCCAAATGGGATTACATCCACAGGTATAGGGATTAGGATTCCAACACATATTTTGGGGGGACACAATTCAAACCATACCACAGCTCTACATGGGGCCTCACCTCAGCTAATTTAGATACAAGACAGAAGACTGGTGAGGAGATCACAGGCAGGATTCATCGGAAGCTGATGGAATCCAATCCCAAATGATTCTGCTTTTCCTCTTTGGTCCTCTGTAGGCTGACATTGCAAAAGAGGGTGCTGGACAGGCAAATGATACAGATCAACCCCAGGACCTTGATTCATGTCTCACCGGTTTTAGAAACAATGGGATCCAGTTTGTGTCATTTCTGAATTGGATACAATTTAAAAACAAAAAGTGACTTTCACCTGAACCTGGAAATTCCTCAGACCCTTCTAGAGTCCTGAAGATTGCCCCTAAAATGTTTACACAAATAATCTAATGAAAAGTATTGAGAGAGTCTTTCTGCTACTTTTCTGGCATCCTAGATATCCCAGAGACATGAATCCTGCTTTTGATAAACAGATATTAAAAAAGAGAGGCACTGGGATGTAAGAGCTTAAATCACTGAACACACATTTTCTTCTTTCCCATTTCTAAAGTAAATTTACTAATATGTCATCAAATATTACATTAAAAAACTCAAACTTACACGTACACTTTTGTGCTGAGTGAAACATTATATGCTATTATATAAGTTGGACCTTGAAAACCTATTTTAAAACTACACAGAATATTTTCTAAACGTTGATTTAGAAAACTCAAAATTTAATATAATACTTAAAAATATGGAAAGCATTCTAAAATAATGAGTGAGGCTTTCAGGTAACAGAAAAGAGAGTTGATTTGTCTTCGTATTAAAGAGGAATTCACATTGCCACTAGCAACGTATGCAAAATACCGTTTCCATAATTTTCATCAATATTGAATGTTATCATTCTTTAATTTATTGCCAGTTTGATAAATCTAAGCATATATTCCCAAAAGATGCATTCCACCACATGAATAACAAGTAAATAAAGTTTATGTGAATCAACTTTGTAATTTACATAAATAAATGTGAAATTCATATGGCTGAAACCCTTTCCACGCTCACTCTGGACCTCAGATCTCTGCCTACTCCTCCCCTTCACTCTTTCCTTCCTCCTCTCTCTCTCCCTCCCCTTCTCTGTTTCCCTCTCCCTTTCCTCTTCTCCCTCCCTTCATATCTCCCTCCCTCCTAGGTTTCTTCCTTCCAGTCTGTAAGAAGCTTCTCTTTCTAAAGATTGTTTTGCATATCTGTGTACACAATAGAAATAGCCCTCCCAGGATACCTTATCTCTTTTCTTAAGTCAATAACTCAAGACAAACTTTCTAGAATCACTCTCTTCTGATTAGAAACTCCAGGGAAAGAATCTGATTGGCCTACTTCCAGTAAAATTTCCAGCCCTGATAGAATTGTTGAGGAAAAGTTACTTAAAACAAAATCTACTCCCAACTCAGAAAACTTTCCTACAAAAATAGAAGAGAAAGAAAAGTTTTATTATTGGATAAGCATTAAACAAGAATGTGATGCATCATGGG